GCTTCTCAGGTATATAGTGCTAAAAAGAAAAAAATAACTTGTTATATAAGCTATACAGGTGGTTTTATCAGACATTTACATTCACATGACTAAAATCCTTGTCTTTAGTGACTTCATGTGAACTGATCGGAATAACGTTGAAAATACTTAAAGGGTAACTCCACTTTTGTGGGGGGGGAAATGGCAAGTACAAAAAAAAATAAAGTCATATTGTAATTAAATGTTATTAAAAGTTACCTTTCTTTTCCAATCTGCAGCTCTGTAATTTTTTGGTAAAATGTGATGAAACATATGGTGTACAGAACACCCCTCACCCCACCCCCTCGAAATGTAATTTCCTGTTTGTGCAATTGGTTTACTGATTTCCACAGAAATCTGCACTAAAATACAAGTCAGGTTTTGAGCATCCTCTGTAACAAAAATTTTTGGTGAGATACTCCCAAAAGGAAATCATATTTAAGGGGATGCAGACCTTGAGACCCCGCAGTTGTCCTCATTAGAACCCTGCAAGTGTACCATCAAATCACTCTCCATTTACATTCATTTTGGACATGGATACAGAACAAACAGCTATTTCTTCAGAATAACATCAGGTAAGAATCAGCAACAAAGTTTTGTAAAATTCTTGCAATGTAAATCGATGACCCAGAGGGGAATATTTTTTTCTAAACAAATGTGGAGTTTCTTTTTAGTAGGGTGGAAAAATTAATGTAGAATGAATGAGGCAATCAATACAATGTAGGAGGCAGCAGACAATTTAAAGGACCAAGGTAATATTTGTGTCCACTGACAACAAAGGAAAAGGCTCTGAAAGGGTATGTGCCAGATATAAGTGTTTTCTTCCTGATAAACTTTTCCTTGACTACAAAAATATCAAGTTATTTATGCTGTTTAAAACATTTTTCAAGAACCAAAGTTAAAGGCTGTTTGTAAGTTTTGCACTCATATTGATTAATAATGTGCACTAAAAGGTAATCTTTTTGTATTGGTTTAGTTTACCGGGCTTTGATAACTTAGTAAACCAGTTCCTGCACAGAAATACAGGGAAAGTTTTTAGTGTTTTTCAGGTCCGAGACGCAAGTTCCATCCCTTGGGTTCAGGTTCCGCACTAAAGTTGGCCCTGGGGCTATGTTGTGAATCAAACCATTATACAGTACCATAAGCCTCAGTGTCTCAGGCACCTCTAAAACACCATGTAAAATAATTCATAGACACATAATAGTGATAGCATTTTCATTTGCTTCCCACTGATGTGATAGGTGATTCATTGTTTGGTGCTTGTTGGAATATTCTGGGTCATTCTCTATGTGTTTACATTCTCAAGCATTGTAATCAGAAAGACGAGAGAGCAAGGCAAGGCTGACAATAAATAAATGATCTCAATTTATATAAGTATGTTTAGCAGAAATTTACGGCCTGGAGTCTCTAATAACATGTAGCATGGAAGTGCTTGTCACATGGCAATATTTAGACAAATTCATTTCATTACGTATTCTTTTCACTCACTCCAGTGGTTCAGGTTAGTTTGTCAGGAACAGCAGGTCACAACCTAGAAACTACAATAGACAGTCAGAGGTTTTGTGATACCAGAGTAGAGAACATGACTCATTTAATGAAAGCCTCATTCAGCTAAAACAGCATACAAAATATAATCCTAAAAAAAGAATAAAAAAAACTCCACTAGGCAATATTTGAATCTAAAACAGGTAATGGGATATAACATTAATCTGTTCAGAAGATTAATGTTTTCTATAATGTGGAAATATTTAAAAAAAAAACCTCTGCATGAGCCCACTCATATCTTGTTATTTTTTACTTTAGGAAGTGACAAAACAACATACTTTAGGAATGATTCACTAAAGGCATGTAGACTATTCACAAGCAGTCCCAAAAACACTCTCTACCTCCAAAGTCAGGCACAAAGTAGTTGTAGAGGTTGGTGCTACAGCCCAGGGTGCTGATCCCCAACAAGCAATACTAATCCAAGATAGGAAAGTGTGTACCCGACAAATGTTCTTGCTAAAATATAGCTTTTAAATTAGCATAACTGGTAAAATTTCAGAGAAGCTTACATTTTTCAGCCAACAGCCTTAATCATGCTGTTCCTATCTTGATATAGACTGCTCACTTTGCATGTGCAGTTGCACTCTGCAATGGGTTTGCTCCAGAGCTTAGTAAATGACTGCTGATTTCCATCATCCAATCATGTGCAAGCAAAAATACCTTTTTTTGCTTATGATTTACAAAGCTAATCTTCATCTCAATTACTAAGCTCTAAAACAAATTCCCTTGCAGACTGCACTTGCAAAGTGAACAGTCTATTACCTGTCAGTAAATCAAGCACAATGTGCTCCCTTGGTCCTATTTTACCCAATGCAAGCTATGCCATTAATCAGAGAAGCTAGGTGGGCAGTCCTCTGGGTTGTCAGGTACTTGATTTTATACTAGCTGCCTTCCAATTGCAAGGGTAAAGGGGATAAGAGATGTTCAATTTTAAACAAGACTCTCTAGTTTTCAATAAAACTGAAGTTCGAAAGCCATAAAGTAAATCAATGGTATTATTAGACAAGGGGCTTGGGAATAGTCAGAGAGTACAAATAATAAGTTACAAGACCCTGTTTAAAATAAACCTATCACAAGTCTTAGCAATTCAAATTGAGAATATAAAGATGTTCTAAGCAGCAGTATGTTAAGATAAGTAGTAAATAAGGAGACATAGGTAGCTTATGTGAAATGCAAATTTTCACTTTTCCTGCAGAAGGTGAGTTTGGCTTATGACCTCCTACCATCCAATTAGTCCTCTAATGTGATGAATTGCCTCTCTGACCAACAGGAATGTTTGGGAGGTAGAAAGAACAGGTAAAGTGTCAGGGCTCCCAGGTATGACCAGAGGTGTGTGACTGAAGCAGGGAAACGCAGACCTCAGATATGTTATAAACAATATAATTTATTAACACTAACAGTACAAACATAAACGCAGTGCAATACTAAACATAATACAGTGCAAACAAACCCAACCAAACCACCCACAGATAATTCAGTATATACAAGCAAGCGTCGTCAGGCAGGCCGGGTCAATATCAATTGGGCAGGTAGGTACAGGGGGAGCAAGCGGAGAATGGTCGGGGTCACAGGCCAGGTTCAGCAGGTAGCAAGCAGCATAGTACAGAGGGTCAAGCAGAGGGATGGTCCGGGTCACAAGCCAGGGATCAGAACAGGTAGCAAGCAGCGTAGTACAGAGGGTCAGACAGAGGGATGGTCAGGGTCACAAGCCAGGATCAGAGCAGGAGAAGTCAGCAAAGGAACAGAAACAGGATGCAGGACAGATACAGGGCCCAGGACAAACACAACACCAAGGCAGAGTCTGCAAGTCTGGCCATCCCTTAAATACACCAGTATCATCAGTTCCAGGTGTTAGCTGGCTGAAAGGTTGAGTCTCTGATTGCTGGGAGCACCCGCTGGCCAGCCCTGGTACTGCAGATCAAAAGGCAGGTGAGTCCCACCATTGCTGGCCAGTCCATTCCTAACATAAAGTCTCCATATTGAGTTCTTAATCCACAACTGGCCTGTTTAAAATGTTATCTTAGGCCTCAAACTGTTCTACAGGCCATTTAATGTTGAGATAATAGTTTCTCTTTCCTTCTTTCTTTCTGGACAAAAAGCATTTTAGTCAGGTAAAAAGAAAATGGTGCATGTAAATATTTTGTATCCTCATTCACCTGTGCACATGTTTAACCTTTTTAAAAGTATTTATAGAGCTCAGTAGCTCAAGCTACTAATTACAATAGACAAAGTTATGTATTCCCCTCTTTACAAGGTTTTAAGAGACATAACTGAACTGGGTTGTTTTTTTTCTCTTTAGAAAATCCACAGTTGTTTGATAATCTTTTGTAATTGTGACATTACATTAAAGATTCCAAAAGCACAAAACAAAAAATTTTTTCATCTCAAAGGTTATATTTTCCTGTATCTTTTTTCAGCTGAGTAAATATAAAAAAAAAAAAAAAACATGAACCTTCAAAACAGTAAACAGTTTGCAAGCTGTGATTGCATATTACACTAAATCAGGTTACAATATCAGGGCTTCAGGAATTGCAAAAAAACTGTCTTTGCAGTTGGACACCTCGCACTTAAAAGGTTAAATGCTCGCTAACGCTAAGACAGCCATGAGGAATGATTTGTAACACCTTAGGTTACACAGGCAGGCTGTCTCCATCTGTGTGACCAGTGCTCCAAAACCTCTTCTATAAGATGGTCAAACCTTGCACTGTACATGGGAACAGCGAGAGAACACCGCCAACCCAGAACAAAGGAGAGCACCAGAGCTTGCTGGAGCAAGAGGTAGAGAAAGTATTACACCCTATTTCTTATCCAAGAGTTAATGAGCAGAGGGGGCTACTGCAAGGGTGGATTTTATCTAATTCTTGGAGTTGGGCTTTAACCACTAGCCTACAGGGCACTTATACCCCCTTCCTGCCCAGGCCAATATCCAGCTTTCAGCGCTGTCACATTTTGAATGACAATTGTGCGGTCATGCAACACTGTACCCATATGAAATTTTTATCAATTTTTGAGAGAGATAGAGCTTTCTTTTGGTGGTATTTAATCACCTCTGGGATTTTTAGTTTTTCTTAAACAAACCAAAAACCACTGAAAATTTGGGAAAAAAAAGTTTTTTCTTAGTTTTTGTTATACAATTTTGTAAATAAGTGATTTTTCTCCTTCACTCATGTGCGCTAATGAGGCTGCAGTGATGGGCCCTGATAGGCTGCACTGATGGACACTGATAGGTGGCACTGATGAGGAGGCACTGGTAGGTTGCACTGATGGGCATTGACAGGCATCACTGATGGGCACTGAAAGGCAACACTGATACATGACACTGATATATGGCACTGATAGGCGGCACTGATAGGCGGCACTGACTGGCACTGATAGGTGGCACTGACTGGCACTGATAGGCGGCACTGATGCGCACTGATAGGTGACACTGATAGGTGGCACTGATTGGCAACACTGATAGGTGGCACTGATTGGCATTGATAGGTGGCACTGATTGGCACTGATGGGTGACATTGAAAGGCAGCTCAGATGGGCACTGATATGTGGCATTGATGTGCACTGGTATGCACTGATATGTGGCATTGATGTGGCACTGATGGGCACTGGCATGTGGCACTGATGAGCACTGACTGCTGGCACTGATGGACACTGACAGGTGGCACTTCTGGGGCCACAATGATCATCAGGGCACACTGATCATCAGTGCCCTGATGATCAGTGTACATGTCCCCTCCGCAGAAAGCCGATTACCGGCTCTCCTCTCCTCTCGAGCTGTCAGCATGACAGCTCGAGAGGAGAGAAATGCCGATAACCGGCATTTCCGTGTTTACATGTGACCAGCTGTGATTGGACACAGCTGATCACATGACCGAGCCGACATCTTCGGCTCTTTCTGTGATCTGTGATCCGCTGTGTCCGAGGGACACCACGCATCGGCGATCACCGCGCTGCGCGCTCCCTGAGCCGCGCATGTGCGCTGAGCTGAGAATGGAAGGATGTCATATGACGTCCTATCAGAACGAGAGAACCACCTTGCGCCGGTCATTGTACTATATGGCGGGTGGAAGGTGGTCAAAAGAAGCCAATAGCTTAATTTTAGATTATATATGAATAGCTCAGAACAGTTGACAGAAAATCACATGGAATTTATCATATTTATTTATAATAAAATAGCAAGTCACAAATCCCACAAGCTAGCTACAACTTCTGAGACGTTTTCCAGTTATTTTGTGGAGATATATATATATATATATATATATATATACATATATAAACACATCAAGTTAGTTTCTCCACTTTGATTGCAGGTCCAATAATTGTATTTTGTTTTAATTAGTTAAAAAATATTCAGCCATCCAGTTCAATTGTTTCACTTATTTCCTATACTACATGTTTAAATGTTACTGAGTATGTGTTTTAATTGTAAATTTTAAACCTAGTCAATTTTACAGTGTGGTTAGCATGGCCCCTGTTAGACCTAATGTGTGCCCCCTTTATTCTGCTCAGTTTCATTTGAGTTTGACATGCCTGCAGTACCTAAGACTTGCTGTGTTCACATAACAGGGAATATTTTGGCAAAATATTCAAATAAAATTAAAGTATATATAGTATAGGCACTTCTGCCAAACATCTATAATATGAATTAGTAAATGCAGTGCTGGTTTTAAAATAGCTCAGGTGTCAGTAGTGGAATTGCCTTTAGCTCTGAGTGCCAGGAGACCTATAATGATCTTGCTATGGAGCTCAGTCACCCAAAATTAAGGCTACACTGCAGTCAAACAAGAACATTTTACGATTAAACTCACTCAGGAGACAAAGCCTATTTGCTACTTGGCTACATGGCTGTATCGTTCATCCTGACATTCATAGCTGCTAAATCTTTGAATGTTTTTTGTTTCCAACTTGGCCCAAATATATAAACCTATTTCAGCTTTATGCAAATACACTTCTAGAGCATAGCACAGAAAAATGTGAGAAGATTCTGCAGTCCTACCAGAAGAACAGTGCAAACACTGCTAAATTTAGCTACAAGGGATATTATAAAATTCACAAAAATCCTTTCATGCTTTTATTGATTCACTGGAATCTTTTCTGGATTAAAGGGAAACTAAAATGAAATAATCTACATATCCCCTCAACCCTCTCTAACCTAAAAACCTAACTGATATGCTTGCCTATATCTTTCCTTGGGTGAGATCTGCATACAGGCAGCCAATCGCCAGAACTACCTGCCCCCCCACCACTTTAAATATAATGAAGATTGTATGGGGATTGTGCGATTAATTTATAAGAAAATCGGAAGAAAAATTCCATACGAGGAACGATCGTTTGATTTTTGTATAGTGTGTACATAACATTTGACATTCCATTCAGACTATTTTCATTTAATGTGTACTGCTTTCATGTCGGATACGAAAGACTGTTTCTGATCAGAAACAATCAACGACAATAATCTACACTAAAACGTTTCTACGTCAAACAAAAAAAAAAGCCTGTGTCTTTCGAGATATTTTGTACAACTTGTATCATCCTTGGGTTCGACTTGCTGTGAAACATCATGGAAAACCGGAAGATCGTTTGCCTGATTTTCTTACAATGCATACCAAGCATAAGTCTACCTGTAGGCTACAAGGGAATGATAAAGAAGGTGGAAACAATACCAGTTTCTAAGCCCTATAGGCTTCATGTACACTGGCAGCTCCTACACTTGAGTTTAGGAGCTTTTGAATGTTTTTTTGCCAAAGCTCCTAAACTTAACTCCATGTACTCATAGGCTTTTAGTAAAGTTTAGGAGCTGCTGCGTTTAGTTGAAGTTAAACCTCCATTTCCTGACCGTCAAAGAATCACTTTCAGGATAGAAACATTTTGCCTGCCGGCCACAGGAAAACTCAGCAAAAATGCGTGTAAATGCGGTACTATGTACCCACACGTTTTTTGCCACGTTTTCCCACAAGCATGGTCAGAGTGCACTAGTGTGCTTGTAGCCTTAAACTTTCTCTTACACATTTTAAAAGCTGACTGAACAGTTTCTATGCAATCTCAATTTTATTTACCAACAGCTCTGCTGTACCAGGACCCACCTAAACCGTCCTGTTGAAAATTGAAGGAATTGCAGTTGAAGTTGTGTGGCCAAGATATGAGGAAATAGGCTCAATTCACAAAGCTTTATACAAGGATAAGGCTCTTTATTATTAGCCATGTGACTGTAATTTTCAAATCTAATTGAAAACATTTTTTTGAATAAAAGTATCTGCTTTGTGAATTGAGCTATGTAAGCTTTTACACCAGTGGTGATCAACTATTATAGATAGACTTACTGGTCCTCAAGTATAGCCCCAAACATTACCAAAGGGCCACAAATTATTTTCAGTTAATGTGATAGGTGATTGGCAGGGACTGCAACATTTTTTACAGAAGAAGGTCAGAGACTTTACCATAGTGAAAGCGTGGTTGGAGAATGGGAACATGATTAAGGAGACTAGAGACAAGTTTCTTAAGACTGCCATTAAATCTCCTTTACAAGAAATGTTCTCACTGATGGCTGCTGGGGTACAAAGACCACACAACCCATGCCAAATAGTTATTTACAGTATTACATGTAAAAGCCAAGAAATCAGATGCATGAATAAAATAAGTGACTTAAATGATAAAGGACCCACAAGCTAAGGACAATCCCCATCTACTGTACATGAACACCCTCTCTATACCACTCCCTGTATGTGTCTCAACACTCCACTGGTGCAGTAAAATGTAGCGACTTGAATCTGTATATTTTTTTAACACAACAGCATTATGGGTGCTAGATTTTTGGAGTTAAAAACAGGGACCTAGAATTGGATTTTTAAGTACTAAGATGATATTCTGTAGCATCATTAGCAGCAGTTGGGCTTATCGTGTTAGTTTTATTTCATGCCAGGAACTGAGATTTAACCTAGTTGATGTGCTCACTACAGCAGTAATAAGGACCTTAAAGTATGCACCATTTTGCTATCTCATCATCAATTACTTAATATGGAGATGTCTAAGAAAATTATATTATTTTAAAATGAAAATCCTTAATTCTTCTCACTGTACTGAATACACCATTGCAGTGGAAGTTCATACTTTGAACAAAAATACATAATTGAATGTATGATAAATAATGCAAGAATCTCTATCTCTTTGTTATCAACATAAGAAGTGACAAGTTGATTTAGCTGCAATTTCTGACATTTTAATCAGTAGAGGTTCATAGATCTTAATGTGATCAGATTCGTAAGTGACTCATACACAGAAAAAGAAATACATTTTAACTTGCTCAAAGGGACAATACATTTTACGGAACAATAGAGGAAAGATATATACTTTTTACATTGAACGTACAAGGTTCAGTTACCATTTTTGTTTTTACAAAATCTGTACACATTAGTCTGTGTCTCGCGTACATACATAAATATGTGGCAATAGACTATGCCTGCCAAACTCCCTATCTCATATCTGCTATTCATTTTTCTAGAGCACAGTATCACTTTGGGGTTGCAGTAAAACCAAGAACTATGATTATTGTTAGGTTGCAGAGCTTTATCTCAGTGAAAATGCTGTGGTACTGAGTTCTGGGCACCTCCAGCACTGAATGTACTTGTTAGCAAGGGGTGTTGTGGTTTGCTTGAGGGTCTATTGTTGCTGACTGCTGAAGGGTCTATTGATGCTGGCTGCTGGGGGATCTTGTTGATGGTGTGTACTTTTGTTCCTGGGGAGGCCTTATTGTTGCTGTGGGGAAACTATTGTTACTGAAGGTGTATATTGCTACTGCAGGGGTTCTGTTGTTTCTGGGGAGGATCTATTATTACTGGGGACAATCTATTATTGCTGGGGGATCTATTGTTGCTAGGGAGTCTATTTTTATGGCTGTGGGGGATCTATTTTACTTCCTTTCTTGTTATCATGAACAAATTCCATACATATTACTTAGCACCACAAAATGATACATGGTTCTGCATTTTCTAAAGAGGGCGATACTTGGAGGTGGGTAGAGGGTAGAATAAAAGGATGGTGCTCAGAGGTGGGTAGGGGGTGGAGACAAGGGGTAATTCAGGGGAAGGGAGAATTACCTACACTTATTCTTTTAAAGGAAAAAAAGCCCCATTTAGTTGTATTAGAACAGATCTCTCATTATAGTACCAAAAAAAAGCAGAGAAAGCATTAAAGAAATAAAAGATGTAATAATAAAGTGCTTTCCCTCATTATCTCTTCCATGCCAGAAAGTGAGCCTTTATGACAGCAAACTGGCTGCCATATTTGTGATTGGGACTAACACACTGCCCCACAAATGCATACAAATATAAATAATCTTTTTTCACAATAAGTATAATGCTTTTGGACTTTTAAAAACACATGACCTGCATTTTACGGATTCTAGTTAAAGTTATTTAGTTATACCTGCTCAGAAAATTACACCGACATTCACTGGAAGTAAAGTGTATCCAAACTTACAAATAAAAAGTAATATATTGCTGCTTACCAGCCCTAAAATGTGAAGACTGCTAAAGTTTTTTTCAGTCTAAGAAAGTACAGAAAATACCTGCTGATCTTGCCAAAAATGCAGTATTCTTGTCATGTCTTATGAGCTGAAAATACCATAAAAACCCTGGTATCTTTTTGTGTAAACCACTAACCCCATCAACTACAATGTAATGAAGATAAACAAGGACAGAAATGTTTGAAGTCCAGCCTGTGTGACAACCATGGCCAGGGCTGTGGATATGGGGGTACAACCAGTCCAAGATTCTCTTTATCATGAAAAAACTTGGTAAGTATCATACTCTGGCTCTGAGGAAAAAGCAAGGCCTTGAAATACATCAACCAGTTGGTTTTTCCCATCTTTACCCCTGGTTGTCATGTCCCATCAACTGGATCTTACAGTTTATGTGATAAGCTGAGATACAT